AAGTCAAGTGTCAGCTAGCTCCTGAAATAAATAAAGCATGCTACATTCTTATTATTATTTTACTAGTTGCAAGTAAAAAGTGACCATGGGTATTATCAGTGATACTCATCTCTTTTACAATTCAGTGAAATGATTTGTTATACAGAGATATCACCTTTACCACATCATCCTACACTCACTTTGACAGATAGTTTGGAAAGGTGTTCTTTCTTTTCTTTTTTTTTTTTTTTTTTTTAAATTTTGCCCCTTTCAAGACGGTCACATCCTACTGACAGTAGATTGAATCTGAATACAAGATTTCAGATATTCAGAATTATGTCTGTTGTGACTCTGATGACAGATTTCTACAGTATCAGTAAACACATTTTTGACTCTCTTATTCATTTAAACTTACCTTGACATTTTCCCATCAGAAGATTTATATTTCAGACTCTCTGAGTATATTTACTGTCTTGATAACTGCTACATGCATAGTCAAACCAAATAAGTGAGTTTCAGGACCAAACAAAATTCTTCACTGCCCTATTAATAGGTCTGTACTGAATTATAAGCAATATCTCCTTTGATCCTTAGAAGAAAAACACAGTAGCTCATTGCATACTTACATAGAAAAAAAATATCTCTGAGAACAAAACCAAATGGAATGCTAAAATGCTGTTGCTTATGGAAATATAACAAATTGTCAGAAACAAACACAAAATCTCAGCCATTTTGCTTAACAGCACCTCCTGCAAAACAGTGAGGGGGTTTTATCCTTGACACGTTGGAATAATCTGTGTTAAATCCCTGGGGAAATGCAGAGAAGATAGCAGCCAGTTCGCTTCTCTTCCTTATCTGAATTCCAGAGACATTAGAAATCTTATGGTAAAAAGCTGAAGTACATTATACCAAAATCCCCAGGAAAATATTTTGCCCAGAGCCTTACCTTAAATGAAACATCTTCAAAGAATCTTTTTTAAACTCTTTCTCACACCAAGGTATTCTTGACACAATCTTACCTGAAACTTCACTGTTTTATTTCTTCTATAACATGTAAGATGTGGTCATCTTTCACATTTTCTGTCAATCATAATTTTGATATATTGTAATTGTTTATTAATAACAGTAGTAAAAAATACCGAGAAAAACTATAAGTTTAGATCATATTTTAGAAGGTGATCTAGGAGCTCTCTATCAATCCGTGAAGATGATTCCCTGCTGCAAAGAGCCAGCAAGCTCATTTGAAGACAAAGGAAAACAGAGAGAACCCAACTGTGAAAATAATTTTGAATATTTGAAGCTCTCTATATAGCCGTGTAGACATTTGTTTACATTTTAGATAGACATAAAGTAAGGACTTAATGTTTTTCTGGTTTATATGATTCCTATATACTCTGTCTGTGTTACTTCATTATGTATTTCTAGTCTTTCTTGCTAAGCCCGTTAGCATCTAATGGCAGTTGTTTCCCACTCTTGACATCTCATCCTTGCATATAATTCCCTCATTTACTACTAACTCTTCTCAGTTCTCAGTTTCCTCTTTCCCACGCTTTAGTTCTACTGAATTTCCAAAGCCAACCACTCCATATGCTTGGAGGCATATTAAACTTCTGTCACTTTTTTTTTTTCTCACACATTAAGTCACATTTTGTGGTTCTGCTTCCCAGGGAGCCACAAATTAACAAAAAAAAAATGTTCACAGAACAGAGCAGATAATGCAAGATAACGAATTTTTTTTGGTGGATGTCATGTACTAGTGCTACTGTATACTTTGCTCTTAAAAGCAGGTAAGAAGAATTACTTCTGCTTGCAAAATATTGCCATCCCTACTCTTTAATAGTGTAAATTTAAACTAGCCCAGTGTTTTGTCATCTGTTATCCTTGGCTATGGCTTTGATGCTTATCTATTGCTTATATAAATCTTACATAAATTTATCTCATAAGACAGGAAGCACAAACTACCTTGTGTTTGGTTACGTTCACTGAAAACACAGTAGAACCATATTGCGTGTGGGAACACAAATGTTTAAAATACTTAGCTCTGCATAATTCTTGTTCTTCTGCTTTATGTGTGCACCTGAGTGCATATGCATTTCTTTGTGGCTTACTGGAGGGATAAGTATTTTAAAGGAAGATATTATGACTGTGTTTTCCATCTTTAAGCAGATCATGCATGTGGTAGAGGGGATGATGAGAAAACCTTTTTAATGATAGGGACTGCCAGGACAGTCATTAGCAGCTCATCTGCAACTACCCAATATTATTATTATTATTGATTTTCTTGCTTTAAGTGGTAGCAGGGAGTCTAGACCATGAGAAAATCAGGATGGCTGGGAGCTTGGGCTGACTCCTCCAGAACGATAAAAATTGCTCTTTGGAAAACTGATGTATGTCCTTTCCTGATGAGTGTGTTCCTATAACCTGACTATGGCTCAGACAGGTTCTGATCCAGCTTTCAATACATGAACAAACTTATAAGTAAGGTCTATTTTTTTCCAGTAGCTTCTGTCATTGCTGCATCTGAATCAGGTGTTTAATTCATCAATGAAAAAACACAAATAAAACACTGCAAGAGATTTTAAAACCAACTTTCTGTTTTGAACCCCATCTCTCATTTTCTATTAACAGAGTAACAGATTTGCAATAGCTATATTGTAATTCATTATCTGAATATAATTTTGAATATCATTGCAGACAGAAACATGTTTAAGTGCATTTTCTCAAAATCTTTTTCTAATTACGGCAGTGAATTCAAATTTGTACAACATGCTACTTTTGGATGAGAGCTGCATTTTTAAGATCTCGACATGAAGAACATTCTTTAACATAAGCAGTGAAAAAGAACAAGTATAAACTGGGGTAGGAAAATAAATCAGGAGTTAAACGCACATAATGTTGCAATGACCTGATCATTATGAAAGGGATCACAAATACTTGCCATTAACTATTTCAAAGGTGTGAACACTGGGGCTGCTAATATGTTATTTACATCTGTATAAAACTGATAACTGGAGATAATGGTATGTAATTTTGAAATAATACACACTGAATATGAAAGGTTTCTTGGCACTAACAGCTGCTGGAATTTTGAATTGCCCTTTATAGAAAGTGACTGAAACTTCATTACTTTTAAAGTTTAAAACAAAGAAGGACAAAATGACTTTAAGGACTCAAGCCCTGTTGGCTGTAGGCTGTAACAGAATGTTTTATAGCTAAGAGAATACTTCCCTTCCCCTCATCTTTATTCTGTTGAAAAGTTCTGACCTTACTTCTATTAATAATCTCAGTATAATACTTCTCACTCTTTTAAAATCCAGGACTGTGTCTGTATGATACAAATGCAGTGGATTGCAGGGATATCCAAGCTAGCTCTGAACAATGTGAGAAGGGAGGATCAGGCAGAAGACCCAGGATAATGCTGCTGTCCTATTTCTGGCACATTAGTCACTGATAGGTCTATATGGCACAGCACTGCATTTGCGCTTACACCTCAGAATGTTAACAAAATCTGCTGTACAGGGAAAATGTTTCTAAAATGTTTCTGATCTTCAACATCTTTATAGGTAAAATGACTGCCATTCAGTCCTCTTTATCTTCAGCTATTAACACCAGTCGTGAATAGAAGACGAATTATGCTAGTCAAGATCCGATACATTTTGTGAATTTTTACTGGAAATATCAACTCCTCACAATATCCTACAAAGACCTGAAGCAGCAGAAAAAAAAAAAAATTTAAAATAATTTAAAGAGGAATGATTTCTCCTTTTCACACTGATGAATGGGAGAGTTAGTTGAAAAACACAGTATTCTTTTAAAAGCATCAAAGTAGTACTGCAGTCCTTGAAAACATTATGTAATAAATTCTACAGCTTTATTTCTTTGTAAACAGGGGATTCTTGTTTATGATTTTTATCACTATGAATTTTCTTCAAAGTAAAGGCAGAAGTATTGCTTTACAACATTAACATCACTGTGCTTGTTTGCTTTCATCTACCGTGACCTTCAAACATTTTACATTGACCTTCAATCAACATAATCTGTTTTAAAATGCCATAAGCTAGAACTGTGAGAGGTAGGGTTTGGGGACAGCAAATGCAAACATTTGAAACAATCAATTTATTCCAGCAAAACTAGCACAAATATTGTCTAGAAAACAAAATTTAAATACTCAAAGTGAAATTATTTTAGAGGAACTACCTTTACTACAATCTACAATTATTATTGTAAAGAAGGATGCTATCCTAAAACTGCAAGTTTAGGAAGCCAAATTCAAAATACGATGTGTCTAAAATTTCTAAATTAACATCCCATTAAAGGATCTGAAAAAGGACATTATTTTAAAATAGAAATCCAATTTTCTTGCAGGCTCACCAACACTGAAAAGGTTAAGCTGGTAAAATATAACTCTTTATCCAGGGCCCTTCTAAGCCACTGAAAGCAGAACAAGTTGTTGCCTAGGACAACAAAATATTTAGTGACTATTTATTTTATCTGTTTTTGCAGAGAACTCGTGGGCTAGGAAGAGAGGTTATTTTCTAGCTTTTTAAAAGAGAATAAAAAGTCTTGGGTTGGGCTGCTTCTGCTGTACTCCCTGGAAAGGAGATCACATTCTGAAACTTGAAATATGAACCTTCTTATGGAACACTAAGATTTTAGGCAGATAATCAGATGATAAGGCAATTTATTTGCTGCCTGAATGGAGGGAGATTTTGTTAGGATACTTCAGAGACAGTACCCTCTCTGGCACTAGGCAGAGTAGGTTGCTTTAATAAAAAAATTATCTTGCATTAGAAATCAATCATTTGTGCTACCTAGTGTGTTACAGGACAAGAAAATGATCCTGCAGGTGAAACACAATAGGTGCTAAAATTGCTCAGCTTTGACTATTAGTGCTAAAAATTGCTGCCAATCACTACCTGATTATAATTTGCTTTGAAGAGAGCGTGGGGCAGAGGGAAAGAAAAAAGACAAAAGGAGAGAGGGGAAAAAAGCTCTGGTTTTAGGAATTCTAATATAAGAGCAAAGATTTACTTCAGAAAAAAGGTAAAAGTGATTGTTATATTTTATATAATTTTTGATATGACTAAATTCCTTACATTTAAAAATAAATGCAGGAAATGGGAAACATTAAAAGAAATCTGCAAATTTCAATGGCTAGATTTGCTGATCAATCATGGTTATTTTACCATCACTTTTTAATCAGAAAACTATATTTTTTATTGTCATAATATAAGGAAATATAAATATAGAATTAGGGAAATTATTTCAAAGTACTTATATGATCTCTTCTACTTAAATAATCTCTACTGCAAAATAACACCAGGCAGATTACAAAATAATCATTATACTATCAAAAAATAAATGCCGTGAAAATGTCCACAGTGCAAATGCTTTCTCTTTCTTTCTTTACCCTGTTGTATTGTAAACTGAATAAAGCACAGTATTTGAACTAAAAGAAGTGGTTTTCCTCCCACTTCTCTTGAGTCTAAGCACTACCATGATCCAAGGTTGGAGTGGGAAGAGGTAAACAGTGGAAGGTTTGAAGAAATTGCCATGGTTTATGTCGTCTCCTGATCTTTTGTAAGTGACAGTATAGAGGAAAGAGGATGACTTATTTAAAAAGTATCTTGCATTACCATGAGGAACAGATGGAAGCTTGCACATCAAATCACTCAAAGGCTATGAGATCACTACCTATGCAAAATGCTACATGCAGAAATTGTACATAAGAGTTAAACATGTTATGAAGATACAATACTGGCACACGGATTTGTAGGGGATAAAGAGCTTCCAACGAGATTTCTAGAAACAGCCACTGTAATACTACAATATAACAACAGTAACATCCGCAGTTATTCAGGAACTGAGTGACTTGATGGAGCTGCTACCAGTGTTCAGAGCAGGAAGAATCATTTTCAAATGCAAGATCCAATGGAGCAAATTTACTATATGATTGCAATTAGTATTTCATTCTTGCAAAAAAACCCCAAAGATGTGCATTATTAAAATCCTTTTGAGACTTCTGTGGGTGCCCTGGATGAATGAAATCTACACACCTATTGTGTATGGAAAAATTTGCTATTTGTATAACATCTCATAGCTTTTTTTGTAGATGCAATGAACCTACTGATCCAATTTCAAAGGGAAATGCAGTAATTTAGAAAGTCATCCTTTGTATTTACAACAGTAACAGCTAACACATATTAATGTAATCTCATTTGCAGTGTCATTCTACTAATGTAGGAGCAACTGAGCAAATCCATATATGTCTTACCTCATGAAGAAATATCGTGATGAAAGGTATTCAGTCCCAAACCCATCTTCCAAGTATTTGGTTTGAAATATATAAGCAACTATCATGTTGTCAAAAAACTGCTTAATAGTTAGTCCTATTATCTATGTTAATTAGGACAGTTTTGCAAACAGATAAGCCAGGGAACTTGAAGAGATATTCAAAGTTAACCTTCACGTTTCCTCAAACCAATCAAGGTTGTGCACTAACCACTTCAAAATTGTAGTTATTTAACATAAAAAACACCACAAATGTAGTAGAAAATATTTTCTTAAATGTCTTAATGCATCCTATACATAGACTACTACAGTATTAATGAGTGAGAAGACCAAAAGTTCAGCCTGCCTGGCAGAGAACTTTAAAGATTCCCATAAAACTTTCAAAGGCTAGAAATGCCTGTTCCTCAGTACAAGAGGCACATCTGTTTTTGCAAGATGTCAGAGAGATTCTCAAGCATTTTATGCTACATAGAAACTTAGAAACACAAGACTTCTGGTTTTGCACCACTACATCAACATGGTTGTCTCTACAGAAGTGGTATTTGCATTTAAAGTGCGATAGTCAATCACTTAGCTTGCTGGAGAATTTTTTACTTTCAATTATATACACTTCTATAAAAATACATACATACACACATATGTGCATGTGCACGTTTATATATGTAGTTGATTTAAAATTATTGCTTCACATAAATTAACTTCAAGTACTTTCTTAACCAAGTACACTAGTAATATGGTCCTGAATGTCTGTGAAGAGTGAACAAATAAAAGGTCATACAGAGAATTTTCTAAACTCAACAACTATAGAAGTTATTTTTTAATAACAAAATAAACTGAGATCCCATACCCTATTGCTAATGCAGACTCACAGTCTTGAAAGCTCTTCTGATTATCAAAATTGTTGGAGCCATTTAGAAAGCAACTACAGGAAGAGCTACAGGCATCTTTATCAGTCAGCAATGTCTCTGGGAAATCAGAAAGGACTGTGGCTCCAAGCACTCTTAATTTTTTTCAGTGATCTGAAATCTAGCACGGGGCTCTGAGGTAGAAAGGAAAAGGGACAGGAATTGTAGATTTGCAGTCATAATGTCTGCCTCTGCAGAATGGCATGCTTGGGAAATTAATTAATTTCAAGAGAAGAAGAGTCGCACGGTAATTAATGAAACAGAAACTGAAGGACAGCCCTCCTAAGAAAAAGGTATTTTTTCATGGCATAGAACATGGGAAATTAAGTCATCAAGTGAGCTCAGTACAAAATCCATCCATTTGGTGTATATTACCCAATCAAGCAATGGAGTTGCTATCTGCTTTGCTGGAGTAGAAGGGGAGGCTACTAAGTGAGACATCAACCTGGTCAAGGAATCTGAATGCAGTACGTGGTCCATTTTTAAATTCTTTAAGCAGAGACTATAAGTCGCACTGAGATTGTAGGTGCATTGGTCAACTAAGGCCTCACGAGAGCCTTGAGAACTAAGTTTAATACAGTGGTTGCTATTAGTTAGAACTATAGGCTCAAGCTAAATATGTATAAAGTAATTCTGACTTTGAAATTACACACGTATAGCTGGCACTCTGTGTATCGGAGCTGTATGGAGAAGGACTAGAAAGACACAGAACAAGGATTTCTGGAAGTATGAAATGGCTAAATGTACTAAGACTCTTCAGTCTGCAAATGAGATGGCTGAAAGGAGAAATTATAGAAGTCTGTCAAATGAACCACAGCACAGAAAAGATAAATAGAGAAGCAATTCAAGGACGAACTTGCTGAATTGCTAGCAATGATGTGTAACTTTTCCCTTAAAACGTTGTTATCTGAGGACTGGAGAGTGACAAAATTGATGACAATTTTGGAAACTAGTTCATGGAAGATTCATGGAAATACCAGCCTCTAACTAAGACCATTTCAGGCAAATTAGTAATAATGTGTACTGTGGACACATGGATAAATACAACCAGGAAGAGTTAAAGTGACTGTACGTAAAGATGCCTCATATCTCAAAAGCCTATTGGAGTTCTTTGAAACAGTGAAAAATACACAGAGAAGGTTGATGATCTGCTTGTTTGCTTGGATTTCTAAAGTCTTTTGATGAAGCCACTCTTAAAAGGCTTTTAAGAAAAAAAAGACAAACAATAATGGCATTAAGCCACAAGAACAGGTTCTTTCATGGATAAACAGCTGGTTAAAACAGGAAACTGTAAGATAAAATGCAGTTTTTGGGGTGAAAGAAGATTCCTGGTGAATTCCTGAAGAGATCAATGAATGAACCTCTGCTGGTCAACACATGTATAAATTCCATAGGAAAGAGGACAAGCAGTAAGATCACAAAACTTGATGATGATAATAACTCAAATGAGGTAAGAAAGACAAGGACCAGTTGGGAAGAACTTGCATAATCCAGAAGTCCTTGAGGTGAAAATTATTGACTAGAAGAATGCTATTCAGATAATGCATAATATGCTTGTCCTATCCATGTAGCCTTCCTGGGTTATCTGTTTAAGGTCATTTTTACAGACAGCACAGTGGATTAGGTAGAGCCTCTGATCTGTTTTAGTATGGCCATTTCCATGCTCTGTCATTCCTACAGTACAAAACCTAGTGGGCTGCAGTGAAATTATCATGTAGCAGCTCTAAATAAAACCAAAAAAATAACTTTTTCACACAGCACATAATTAAATTCAATTGTGGAACTTGTTGACAATGTTTTGGAGGGTCAAAAGTATTTAGCTATAAACTAATGAAAGGCAGTCCATTGGCCGCTATTTTATCTCTCTACTGTCTTCAATCTGATGCTGAACAGCAATCGTTATCCTAACGTAAATCAGAAATGCAATTTGTGAGTGAAAATATAAAGAACACTTCTCCAAAAGCTCAAAATCCGGACAGTAATTGGGTTTAAGAAACCATTTGGTAGACATTAATTTTACAGGAGACAAGCACTGAATTATCCATGTGAAAGATGCATGTACAAAAATAGAAGAAGCTCACAGTGCAGGATGAACTAATTGAGAAGAAATGTAAACCAGGCCACTTACATGTAACCCTCCTCCCAGGAGTCCAGCTATCTGTGATTCAAGGCCTACTTTCAGTATAACGCAGCTGTGCAACTGTTCTCAGTTTTCTTCTGAGAAAATTGCTAGGGCGTGAGAAGGTGCTGTGAGAGAGTGCACAGACTGGAAGCATGTGAGAAAAGAAAGGTAAAGTTGCAGACATAAGTAAGATTGTTGAGACAGGAAACTGGAACCTCAAGGATTCAAGGATAACAACACTCAAATGAAAATGTATAAAATCCCAACAAAAAAAAAAAAAAAAAAAAAAAAGGGAAATCAGAAGACAGCAACTCATCAACTTCATAGATCAGCCTGTTCCAGGGAGCAACAAAGGCCAGCCCTCTCCTACCTGAGTGATGACTACTGGCCCAGTAGACTTAGTGACTCATTTGGTGGGGGGTGATTTAATGCCTAGTTCATTAGACCTACAATGTATTGTGTGTGTTAGACGATAAATAACTTGCTTTGTGCTTTTAAGCTGTTTATATCTTGCCTGAAGAACCTCTTTGGTAAAAGTTCCCTGAAGACAGTGACTCCCTGAGGGGGAGGATTACGTAAGTAATCCAGAATAACAGACAAAAATAATACGATTAGTCATGGAGAAAAGCATTTATACTTTAAAGCACAGGTGCACACTTTAGACGGGTTAGGGGATTTCAGAACATAATGAACTTTTTTTTTCCGGCAGATTACGTGCATTTCAGAAAAGTTCCACATAGCTACAGCATCAAATAAATAATATCTGAATCTGGGTACAGAATCTGACCTCTCTAGTGAGCCAAGAAACGTGGGAGACAAAACCAGAAGTGCTGGGAAAGCCAATGCTGGAAGAAGGTATACTAAGTATTTTCAATCCTAGTATAAGGAAATTAGAACAATGCTTCCCAGGAAGCACATACCTGAGAAAACAATGAAGCAAATCGATCTGGGAAAGTTCTTGATCTAAATGACAAATTATTAGTGAAACAGAATTTAAATGTCAAAGTCTGGTTTGTTGAAAAAGGACTGAGAATGTTGGTAGGAGCTCAAAAGAAACACAAATGAATAACTTTTAAAATTACTCTTCTGATTCAAATGTTTTAAGTAATTGCTGCTTGATTGTGCTTGAAGAAACACACACAGTATACATGCATACATCGAAGTCTGAAAGAAACTAGCATGTCAGACAAAGCAGATATTACCTTGCTGGAATAATTTGCAATCTATGCCAATGAGGTAGCTGGAGGACCAGAGAAGCTGAGGGAAGATGGCCTTTACCACTGGTGGCTCAGACCTTCTCCTTCTCTCATATGCTTGGCATTCTCCTCATGGGGTTTTTTTTTTTTTTTTTAATATGCTTGCCTAAATGGTAACTTCCAAGGATGGTAAAACAGTGTTAGAAATAGAGTAAGAACTGTTCTTTTTAGGAATATAAGAAGATTCAAAGCTCTGATCGTCCAGTGTCCTATGGGAATAAGGGGTAACTCACAAAGGTTAACTTTAATCATAGAATCATAGAATCACAGAAGCATTTAGGTTTGATAAGACCTTTAAGATCATTGAGTCCAACCATAAAGGTAACATTGCCAAGTCCCACTAAATCATGTCCCTAAGTGCCACATCTACACATCTCCTAAATTCCTCCAGGGATGGTGACTCAACCACTTCCCTGGGCAGCCTGTTCCAGTGCTTGATAACCCTTCAGTGAATAAATTTTTCCTAATATCCAATCTAAACCCCTCCTGGAGCAACTTGAGGCTGTTTCCTCTCGTCCTATCACTTGCTACTTGGGAAAAGAGACTGACCTATGATTTCCTTTCAGGTAGTTGTAGAGAGTGATAAGGTCTCCCCTCAGCCTCCTTTTCTCCAGACAAACCCAGTTCCCTCAGCCGCTCCTCACAGGACTTGTTCTCTAGATCCTTCACCAGCCTCCTTGCTCTTCTTTGGACGCATTCCAGCACCTCCATGTGTTTCTGGTAGTGAGGGCCCCAAAACTGAACATGGTATTTGAGGTGTAGCTTCACCAGTGCCGAGTACAGGGGGACAATCACTTCCTTAGTCCTGCTGGCCACACTATTTCTCATACAAGCCAGGATGCTATTGGCCTTCTTGGCCACCTGGGCACACTGCCAGCTCATATTCAGCCACCTGCCGATCAACACCACCAAGTCCTTTTCCACCAGGCAGCTTTCCAGCCACTCTTCCACAAGCCTGTAGCATTGCATGGGGTTGTTGTGAGCCAAGTGCAGGGTCCAACACTTGGCCTTGTTGAACCACACACAGGTGGTCTCAGCCCATGGATCCAGCCCATCCAGATCCCTCTGAAGAGCCTTTCTGCTCTCAAGAAGATCAACACTTGTACTAAAGCTTATCTTAGCATCTCTGTATGTCACTAGGGAGAGACAAACTCCCCTAGGAAGCAATTCAGATAATTAAACATAATTTAACTACCCTGAACCATTCTCTGGATGATCCTTTCTTTCACCATCCCTTATAGTTTATAAAGGGAATTTATGGAGGCTAGCTTCATTTAGCTGCAGGCAGACTTTCAGAAAATGCTTTATTCTTTCTGTCTTTCAAAAAATTAACTGTTTGCTTTAATAACTTAATTGAATTCATTTATGCCCTAAAGTAGAAGAAAAGTATCTTGGTCAGCATCACACACAGAAGTTCAGAGGCATGCGATAAGACTCACAATAGTATATTGAGATGCATTATGATAAAGGATGACCTTATTACTAATTTACATGTGTGAAAAAAATCTAAAACTCCATGAACTTCATCCACAGGCATGTGAGTTGATGATCACAAAAACTGTAGAAAGAAGGTAATAAATAATTTTCATTTTTTAAGATGTAAAGAATAGCTTGTAAAAAATTAAATGTCCCCTTCTCTCCCCTGTCCTTTCAGCTATGCTAGTTTACCTAATAGAAGATATTATCTCTACCTTCAAATCTGTTTCTACCCCTCAGGAAGCCATGGATGATTTCCCAATGGCTTAATGGAAAGAACCACCAAATATTAACTAAGGGATTCCTGGTACCAAAGCAGGAATTGCTTTTATGTAAAATCCAGTGGCTGCAACTATTTAAACTGACGGCTAAAATGAAAAAGTCATCATATTGGTAACCCTTGATACATTTTATTGCATATTTGGAGTAAGTGCAAATGAAACTTCTTGCTCCATAGACAACTTAAGCACCAAGAACCACCAAACCAAGAATCCTCTGAATTCTTTTCAGGAAGCTGAGTCTGTTTTTTCTCTTATTTTTCTGGATTCTGCCTGGATTCTGACCTACTCAAGTCAGGAGTCCTATTCCACAGCTAGTGGCTTTAACCTTTATGGATTCCTTTATGAAAAACTTTCTGTAATAAGCTCTTGTTTGCCATCACCTGAATGGGAGGTGAGACCTTTGAAATTGATTTCAGACAGCAGGCCTGCTGGTTAGAGATAAGTGTCTTGTTCTGTCAGACTGCACAATGCTTCAAACCAATTTCTTGTCCATTTCTGAAAGATTCTCCTCAATTGAAACAGAGAAATAACAGGAAATACTTTTCTAAGCTACAGATTTTCTCAGTGAACATTATTTCCTTACAGGTAGCTACTACTGATTGGTGGGAATTAAATATGTACTGACTGGACTAAAATAGAAATTCTGAGAATGTAGAACTGTTTTATTTACTATGCTCTTGAACAACATAATTCAATAATATATCAGGTGGGAGAAATATTTATCTCTATAGTTATCTATATAAACATTTAAACGACTGTTTAACAGCTTCTTCTTGCAACTCATGGCAAAAGGGAGTGTTTTCCCAAGAAGTACAGGCCTTAAATGAGAACACGATGATAAGCTGTAAAGTTAGAGGGATATATTAGAGGGATATATACTGGTCTGGTTTATACTAATTTTATAGAAGTGTATTCCTGTTAACTTCAGTGCAGGTACTTCCCTTTTCATCAGCTTAAGCAAGTTTGAAATCAAACCACAAGCCTTTAATGAGGTTTTAATGATCCACTTGGGGGAGCTAAAGGGCAATTTGTTTCCAAATTGATTATGGCAAAATGTTTGGGATACAAAATTAAGTTACAGAAGACAATGTGAGTGGAGACTTCGACTTTTTTCATTTCAGTGCTGGTTGTTAATCTTTATTAGCTTCTGGAACAAGGGGTCTCCAGTTCTTATTAAAATTCCAGCTACTTATAGAAAAAAGAATCATATAAAGAATCATTATAAACAGCTTAGCAGTAGATACCCATAACAGCAGCAGATACCCATAATAGCATCAATCATATCCTGACTTTAGTTGTACACCTACAATACACATTGAATGCAACAGACGTAACCTGTAAGGCAGAATTTGGTCCTTACTTTTACTCTACATTTTTGTGCTAGTTAACATTAACTGTGATGTGACAGTAAGAAAAGAAATTCTAACATGCAATGGTTTTGTCTTTCACCTTCTTTTCTTTTCTTTTCTTTTCTTTTCTTTTCTTTTCTTTTCTTTTCTTTTCTTTTCTTTTCTTTTCTTTATGCTGGTCTTGAGCTATACCTGCTTGTGCCTCATTCATCAGTTACTGTGTTGAAACATGGCTTTGCATCATTGTTATATTCTCCATTTCTCCAGTCTGGTACACACTGGGAACTGTTTCCCATTATAAAGCTGTATCAGCTGCTCTGTCTTATGTTTGATTGTCTATGGTTACTGGTAGCCCTTTGACTGACCTGGAAGTTAGGCACTAATTAGAGGCAGAGTTGCAGTATCTGCTATACGAAAAGGAAGAGCACAACCTTTTCTCCACGGGCTTTTCTCCATGTAGGGATTGCCCTAAAGTTCAGATAAACTGACAATACAGTTGATCAAAAGGCACAGTAGATCCAAAGCTCTAATAATCTATCTTTTATAAAAGGAAACAACTCAGTTTCAGAGACATAACTTATATGAAAATTCCATTGGCAAGCTGTACTGTCAATGTCTTCACTGTAATAGTACAAAATTAAGCTCATTCCAAATTACTCTGCAGTGCAGTCCACATTAAAGTTTATGGTTGCCCATATGCAGGCATCTAATTTAACTGACTCATGTAGATAAAGTTTCCAGCAGAAGTGATAATTACATAAAATATTAAACAAGTAGTTTAAATTTAATATTTAATATTAAAATATTAAATAAAATAATATCCTTTAGCATAGCTTATTAACCATTTATTTAAGGTTTCCTTATTTTATGTTTAATTTATCCAGAGCATGTGGAAAAAAGTAAACTGTAAGTATCTTTACAAGAAGTACTGTTGTTAGGCACTTTAAAAGCAAAGACTTATGCTTTGTAGCTATAAACTACCAAAATATATTTTTGAACATCATTCAGCATCCTGAAAGCAGACACAATCATGCTGATTGAATATCATGCTAAAGACAATGGCAAAACAAATGGAAGCAAAGGGTACAGTCAATCTAGGTATAGGCACAAAACCTGTAATCATCAACAGTACTTAATGACAGTATTTGTAGTGCAATTTGCTTTTGTGCTTTCTCTTTGATATGTAAGGACAAGTACTATATTTAAAAGGAACTACTACTATAAATTGATCAACTTACATTAATTAATTCAATTTCCCAGATTTTTTTCACAAGGTCCATCGATGTATAGCCATTAATTAGAAAGGATTTGGTATAGTCACCCAGTTCAATGGAATCCAGCCATTCAGCTACGGAGGTGGGGTTGTAGCCATCATGACCAATCTGCTTCATCTGAAAAACAAGAATGAGTAAGAATTACTGATAATATTCATTAAACATCTTTCAGAGCAGCAGGTACGTGTACTATTTTCTTTGTGTCAGAGTTATCTTATTCTCTGATCAATGTTCTTTTAATGATTAGTACAACATGAAACAATTTTGTGAGTGAAAGCACTAATAAAATTTAGCATTCAATGGATCTTTTTCTTATGGCCGCTTACCTTTTAAACCAGACTATACTAAGACTGTAGTTGGAATTCAACTCTTACTAAACATCAGAGAATCCATAAGTGAGGGAAGGCAAAAGGGTGAAAGAGACATTATTAATATCCCGATTGCACAAATATGTCAGATTTGCACCTAAGATTTCATAGTAGGAGAAAAAATTAGACTGAAGATCTTTCGGTATCACACTGCAAATGAAACATATTGCCTTGGTTATATAGTTCCTAATTTATCTCTCCTACTAGGTTATCTGATATTTTATAATGGTTGAAGCTGCACTATATTTTTCTGCCCCCAGGGGAGTTTTAAAAAAATTTCTTCCCTGTACCTGGTCACATTTTTTCATGGAACTCCTAGGAATTTAACATATTTTAGCTTGCTCTCTGTCTGTGAAGTTGCTTGACATTGGAGAATCAAACTATATATTATTGGAACGGAACTGACAGAATGATGTACGCAGAAGCACACCAGTTGCATTTATATACACAGGCACAGAAAGTATAATCACATAAATCTTGTTTTTATAATAAACTAAGAAATACCACTGGCATCTTATTTTTCTGAATTTTGTTAAGGTACTAAGAAGTAAAGAGCTGCAATTTATCTTTCACAATTGCCTCTCAGTGGCAGAAGATTTTCAAGCTAGCCATTAAAGATAAAAATGTATAAAGCCTCTACCTGTGCAGCTTGTTACGCCATACTGTTTCTATGAATTTTAAAGTAATTTGCAATAGTGGCAGAAGTAGAAGTAAAAAGAAGTAAAATAACCTACACAATAGCCTCAATTTTCAACAGTATTATATGCATATCTTCTTTGTACAGAATTGTTAACTACTGCTAACTTGATAATACACTGAACTGGTAAATTGTTAAGAAGATTTAGAGGTTTAGAAAGCTTGTGTCTTCCACAGGATCTCCTGACTGTGCAAGGGTGACACTGCACATGGCTGGAGCCTCCCATTTCTGCCTGCTTATAAAAGAGAAACAAGGGAAGTGTGACAGAACCATAATGCTCTGAGCTTAAGTTTGAAGTGAGTGACAAAGTAATTTAAAACAGAGAATTCTGATCCTAATATCTTGCCTGAACCAATTTATTTCTCACAGTTTCTTTGAAATACAATTTGAATTCAAAGCAGAGAATAAAATTAAGTCTGCATTTGAAAGCCGCAGTAGTGTTCACTGATGTGTCTCTTTAACTCCAGAAAGCCAGCATGTCATGATCTTGATCTTGGTTTTCTGCAGTATCAGAGAGGAGTTATGCAGGCACATTGCATCATGGATATGACAGTTTACTCTTTGATCTTTTGATGCAGATATTGAATAAAAATATTAATGGAAATATTTAAATGAAGTTGTGATGTAGTGTAGTAATTATCTCAAATCATAAAAGAGAGACAAGAGAAATCACACAATTATCAATTGGAATTGTAGCCTTCCAGGTCACTTAACAAAGGAGTCATGTGATAAAGTGAGACCAGTTTTGTTGTTGAAGTTGACATTTTGGAATTTAGTTTCATCCTAATTTAGAATGAAATTCTTAGATGTCAAAAGCATAGCAAATTCTTCTTTCGATGTCATTCAGACTTTCTTCAAATTTTAGATTCACAGTCTGTCCAGCAGGCTGCAAAAATGTTGAAGGACCCTGGTAGTTCTGACTCCTGGGAAGCTTATTTCAAGAGCCGATTTGAAATGAGGTATGCTTAAAAAACTGACACTTGAAAAGAAAGGACCCAATCAACTGAAAAATAAAAATCTAATACAGAGAAGACATGAAGAAGATGTACAGGGCCCATAGGGAACACATGCCTTTTGAAAGATATAAGGTATTTTTGTTTCCTTTCTCTAGCAAAGAAAAGCAAAGCACCTTTGAAACAATTTTCAACATATCCAGATGGGGCATGTTATGCAAATTATTTCTTTTGTTTATTACTATTTGGTTTTTATGTTTAATAAATCCTGATTTTAACATGATTTTTTTTTTTTTGACCTGCCCATTGAGAAAACTCATGCAGTCTGGTCCATAATACTGGTAAACCCTCAGCCTCTATGAAAAGCAAACATAGCATGGGAAGTTTCTGAATTCTTAATTCCCACTGGAGATCTCCTTCAGAAGGGTTGTTGTTCAAATAGATATCACTCTACTTTTCTGTCTTGCAAAGGGCTGCAGGCAAAAAACCACAGGTAAACAATCCAATAAGCAAGAGGCCAGGAACAACTGAAATGCATGTGGCTTTGGATTTGGTGCCAACAGACAGAATTGTCATCACGTCACTCAATAGCCTGCATGAAAATACACTGGCCTGTTGTCGGGCAGCAGCAGGCTCTGCAAGCATTCTCCCTTTCCCTGCCCCAGAGATTTGTCTTCCTCTGTTCAAGGCCACGTCGGGGATGGTGCAGCTGTGTAGCCTTGGATCAGACCCATGTGAGACAAAGCAGTGAGAAGCATAGCTGGGGCCACCCCACCTTTTGCAGGAGCTGCATGTGAGCTCAGGTCCATGTCCCTCGCACTCACTCAAGCTATGCCATAGGTACATCTGTGCCCGGCCATGCACCTTGCTGATCCTCACCCGCTGACTTGCCCTCCTGAATTGACCTTGTCCCATCCTTGTCACTGTGGATTTGTCCTGGGACATGGCTGTCTGCAGTCTCTGCCCCTTTCACCTTGGGCGGGTGCTTCCTGCCGGCCCCACTGTCCCCACTCAGGTCCCAGCACACCTGCCCCGGCTGGGCAGCCCCCCCTGCTGCTCCTATTGCAGAAAATGAATCTCAGAACTACAATATTTGCCAGCAGTTTCAGCATAAACCAGTATTTTGTTTTGCCATGAACCAAGAACAAATCTCTTACATAAAACAGATTTTCTAAAATTGGCCTAACATATGAAAAGTCATAAACTTTCAGTATCCGTCCTCTTGTATGGAAAGTTTTGTTCTGTCTGTTAATACCATCAACTAGCTTATTAACTGTCATTCATAGCTGGCTGAATGCTTTCCTTTGACATATTTATTGACAGACAGATTGGTTATCTAGACGTGACAGTATCATTAATAGTATCTGCTTCTTATATAAAATTATATAAAATGTTATGGAGTTTTTAAATAAAAAACCCCCACCTTGAAATATCTGTCTGGGAGTGCTGCTGCCTTACTTTATTAGAGCTTCAGTTTAGTTGCATCTTATCTCAGTTCTCATTAATAGGTCATGGTTCTTAGACTGTATTTTTTTTTCTATACTACACAATCTTAGACTCAGAGATCTTTTACACCCTGTAGTCTTCCTTGCCGATGCTATTCGCTGACTGATTTTTTTTTTAAAGAAAAAACCCCTCCTATATACTGACTGTATTTCCATGTATAACATTTCAATCATTTTGCAGCAGCTACAACACATGCACCAGTGGTGTCAAACATCTAAGCAGCTATATGCACACTGTTTGACACAGAGCAGTATGAAATCTCTAAGCTTCAAGTCATGACAGCCCTTCCACTATTAACTGCTCACAAATAGGGGCAGTATTGTTCTTCCACAGACACTGCTACTAGTTCATTTGGTTGTTATCTTTAAAGAACAATATCGTTGTGAACTGTTTCATCGCAGATGATTTTAGTGTGCTGACTATGGAAAAGGCTACGAAGGAAGCCCATAGGTTTTAGAGAAAAAGGAAAATATGATATAAATGAAGCATGGAAGAAGACACAAAGCATAGGAGATTTCACTCCTAGGTCCTATTGGTCTGTCACTAGCATCACTTCCTTTTAAATGAGTAGCAAGCAGAGGCCAGAAAGAGATGTTTCTCATAATAAAAGTAATGTCAAGCAGCATCCTAATGAGTTGAGAGACCCCTTACAAGAAACTGTCTGTACATCAGCCTTTTTACAGATGCATCACCCCTATATCTATATAGTATTTTACATCACTATAGAAGATACTCCACTTTTTGTCTCTGAAAGGTATCCAAATAAACATGAACGGAACTTCAAAGTAATCATATATGCACCAGAAGCATCAAGGTGAATTCAGTAACATGGACTACTACCAGTTTTCTCTGATCTTCTCAGACAGATGGGGAACTAATGCTATTTTCTCCACAGGTAATACCACTATCTGGTGGATCTCAACACTGTGTGTATTAAAATCAAGTTTTTATTCTCTGTATAAGGAGAAAGAGATGACTTGACTTTCACAGATTTTTAAATTATGGCTATGATTACAGGGAATTTATGCTTATTTTGGTTTGCAAGAAAGATCTTTTTAGCAAGCACAGAATTAATTCTTTTAAACTGCTGACCTAGCTGAGAGATTTAAGCAGCACTTTTGGGAACTTGAAACTATCAACTACCAATCTGAGTAATTCTGGATGACTGTAATGGAGGAGGTATCAGTTCTTTTTTTTCCTGTCTTTGTGAGTTGTATGCTATATATTATGTGCTTTACAAATGTGATCAGTTGGACTCATGTTGTTGGAAGAGGAGAGCATTCCTCCTCTGGAGCAGTGAAAGAAGAGGCTCAAGAGGGTGACACTTCTGAAGACCAGAGCACCTGGCTGGCACAGGGGCACCACAAGAAGCTGCTGCCTGCAGCGCCTGCACAGAAGTCGAGCCCGCAGTCAGGGGCAGAGAGGCAGATCTCCCAGGGGACAGTAACAACTCCCTAAGGACCTGAGAGGACTTTGCATTTGCTGCTGCTGAGAAAACCACTGAGTGAAAACAGTGACCTGCCTGTAAAGACACAGTGGGTGAGGAAGAGCTGTATATAAACCTCTTGGTTTTCTATTCTGTCTACCTTGTCA